TTGGATTCTAACAGTATCAATCCAAATAATATTCTGACATGTAAAATATATATGCTGCTTTGTTCTATGAGGAAGGGAAACTTTTGGAATGCTAAAACACTACATAGTTAATTTTGACAGTATTAAGAAACAAACAAGTGTGGCTGCCATTGAAATATTTTATTTAACTGCAAATGAAATATGCCAATTAAATTAACTGTATACTTCATACATACTTCTACATCCATCCATACACTATTTTATTGCAATAAATACATCTATTAACCTGCAACTCAAAGCATTGCTTTAAATTTAATTTGTTAAGTAACATCAGCTACAGGTCAAATTACTCATTGATGGTACCCAACAGCAATAAAGAAGCCCTTAACATAGTTCCCGTAACTGCCTCTTTCACATTTCAATCACTTTTCTTCCGTGATACAGAGCAATGTACAATCTCATTCCAGTAAAAGCCCAATATATGCTCTGATCTGTCCTTTGGGATGAACCTGTCTCTCTCTGCTGGTGACATAAGGAGAATTAGGAAGCTAAGCAGCGAGGTGCTTAATGTGCCATGCTTGTAATGCCTGTAGATTAAAAGATGCAACTAAAAGAAATCAAAAACATGATTCATGCTACCTCTAACATTAGACTAGACTGTATTTAGATGTTAGACACTGTTTTTCTAGACATAATAGTGTAATGATTAATGTAGCAATTCACATGACTACGAACTCACCTGTTTCAGACAAATAACAGAATACAGTTCATCTGCCTAAATAAATGCAGCATAACACAGAAAGCAGTAAACATTTAAAGCAGATAAATGAGGTTGGAAAATTGGGAGCATGAATATGAAAAATAAATAATCTTATTTTACTGTAAAATTAAAATATTTAAATTTATCAAAGCAATATCGGATGGAAAATCTATATCATGGGAAATGGTATAGGTCACAAACTGAGCAGCTGTAATAATATACATGAAGCCTAACAATGATTATGCAAATTAAATTTAATTCAACAGTTCAGAGATGAGTAACAAATAGGTCTAATTCAGTTATGTCTGATGCATGCTACACACCCATCCATTTCACCAGGGTGTTTAAAAATACTGGCTATTAATTGACTTATTTTGTGGACATGTTTAATTTTCTAGTTTTGCATTGTTTAGGAGTGTCACACAATGGTCATAAATACAGGAAACAAAATACACTTGTTTGCTTGCTTTTTCTTCAAAGGACCAACTGGCCAGTCTTGTTACTCGGTTAAAATACAGACTTGGCCTTATTTAGCAGGGTTCATGAACTGACATGTATGTATAGCATACATTTTAATGTATGCATAGAGCACATATACAAGGGCTTTTCCTAGCTCACAGATTGAGAATTCACTTTATCTTCTTTGTGTTGACTGTTGCTCAGATACACATATACCTAATTTAATTGAGGGAAGGATCTGGCCAGCAGAAGCACAAAGCTGCACACACAACCTAACCCCAAAATGCCCATTTCCCTGGGGCCAAGCCTCCTTGCAGGGTCAGTACAAGCAGAAAGCAAAAACTAGCCTGTGTTTAGGTAGCCCAGAAGAAGAACAAGCTTGTCTGGGCACAGATGAGGGCTCAGGATTCAGGCAGGCTGCTGGGGCAAGCTGCCACCCTTTGTATTGGTGCTACATCACTAGCCAGAAGCCCACTGTGCTGGCCCTACAGTCAGCCTGGCCAATATTTTTCTGTGAACCTTCTGGAAGCGTTGCACATCTCATGCTTCTACCGAATTCTCTCCTTACTTTACAGGGGTGATGTGACGCCCTTTTGATAGCCTTGGGGTCCTGAGAGAAAACCCCCATTTCTAGCATAAAGGAGAAAGGGGAAAAGGAAAGGAGAAAAGGAGGCAAGGAAGAGGAAGGAAGCCAGGTATAAATCATGAAGCAATCGCCAAGAGTGTGATAAACAATATGCTACATTAAAAAGTAGTTAAATTCATGATCCCAACCTTAAAGCTTTAAATAAAACTAATCTTCTGATTTAAAGTAGCTACCAGTCAGGAAACTCAGAATGGGATCCTTTTAAAGTCATTTTTTTTCTAGCTTGGTTTATCAGCATATTTACCAGGAGCAAATGTGACCTGTGCAAATTATACACATCATGAAAACCCAAGAAGTTCTGCCAAGAGCTGGTGATAAGTTGCTATAACAGCAGCTTGGGGGTTGAGAAATGCACTTTCCTTTGCACTCATGGTAACAGGTGACCTGGTGGTAATGACATCATTAACACATTTCACCTTTTTAAGCTCTCCCGCTGGTGTTTTACTTATACTGGTTTATGGGGGAATCATTTAATTTTGATGTTTGAAGTCCCTTGTGTTCTTAGTGGTATTTTTAGGGAAAAAAAAAAAAAAAAAAAAAAAAAAAGTGGAAAGAGATTGTCCTCAGGAATGTGATTTGGGACAAAACCATTTGATTCTATCAGCAGATTCTGTCTTGTGTGAAAAAGAACTTGGGAGTTTTTATAGCGATCAGATAAGATTGTGATTAATCTAATTCGGTTTTCCCTTCAGGAATAGGCAATACCCTCTTTTAATAAGCAGTTATTAGGCACTTGCCAAATCTTCTAACAGCTTCTCCAGATATGTATGCATTTTTATGCAAGCTAGGTATGTCTATGAAAAACAGAAACCAAACCAACAAAAAACACACCAAATGGAATAGTTTCTCCATTCGATACTTGACAGTCCTTATGGACTCTCCACTCTAGATATGCATCTTTTGTTCCTGTTGTTACCATGTCTCTGTGTACTTCTCTATGTACCCTTGCAGGTAATGATTTTTCTGAAAATATTATCAAATGCATTGTTTATCTCTTCTTTTCAAAAGCTATCTTATGACACCTCTCCTTTTCTTTTTATTTCTTGTAAATATAAAAGAATCTAAAACTCCTATTTAACAATTGCAATTTAATAACATCCTACATCCGAGATTTTTGTTTACAGAAACGTTTGCCCTTGACAACTTGCTCCCTACATCAACAATGTGAAAACAAACCTATTAACCCCTGAAACTTATAAAGAGAAGGAAAAAAAAAAAAGAGAGAGAGAAGAGAGAGAGAGAGAAAGAAAAGATAAACCCACCCACAGCAAACACTACAGCATATGGAAGCATTTCTGAAATGTATGGTGCCAGATCCTATCTCCATTGATATTAATCAGACGTTTATCACCGAATTCAAAAGGATCGCCCACTGAAAAAAAAAAAAAAAAAAAAAAAAAAGAGGCTTTCAGAATGGGATTTTGTGCTCAATTTCCAAACAGACTTGAGTATTTGACACCTTTATTATACTCTAAATGCTTGGATAACACAACAATACAGGACAGGACTGGTTTCAGTCTCAAGAAAGGAGAAGTAATTGCTGTCTTCAACTACATAATGGGAGGTTACAGAAAAGGTGGAGCCAGACGCTTCTCCGAGGTTAAACACAAGAAAGATGGGAGGCAATGGACTGAAACAGCAACAAGAAACATTCCAAAGAAATATTAGAAAAATGCTCATAGCAGTCAAAAATTGAAACGTGTTGTCTGGCTATCGAATCTCGATCCTTGAGGACATTCAAAACTTGGCCGGATATGACTCTGAGCACCCCGATCTCACATAGAATTTGCCCTTTATTTGAGTGGAGGATTTGGATCAGTTGTCCTCCGGGAAGGGCAGAATAGAATAAACATTCTATTTATGGAACGATTGCGGTTCTCAAGTCTCCTTTGAGAATATGAGAATATTTGAGAATATATTGCTTTGATATATTAAGTCTACATATTCAGACCAAATCTTCCAGTGGCAAAACTGAATTCAAAAAGCGTTGTAGAAATTTGTGCCAGTTGAGGATCTGGGTTTGTTGCACTGGAACAGAAGTTCAACTCCAAATGTTCTTGGTACAGAAGTTGGCTGGGGCCCAAGAATGCACAGGCTGTGGGTACACAAACAAGCTACTGTAGGGCATGGATATATGGCACATATGCTACTGTGGTGATTTTGCTCCCATACTGGTCTTACTCTGTTACCTCATGGCAAAGGAGATGCTCCATACACCAAGCAATCTACATCCTCTGTATCATAACTGAAGGGTAGGATGTCCCAGATTAGCTCCTTGCAAGTTCATCCTTATAACACTTACTGGTCACTGTTCAGTGATCCACACCTTATTTTTCAGGTTCAGTGCAGGGAAAAGACAGCATCACAAATACCTGTGCAGTCCAGAAAATAAAATAGCTCCTTCATCTTAAGAAGCCAACGAAAATACAACCAAATATATTTCACAATTTGCAAGTCTTGCTCCTGTCACACAAAATGCCATCACACCACTTCAGAAAGCCACCTGCCAAATTTTGTTGACTACATACATACCACTTGACGCACACCTTGCAGCTCTCTGTACCTCAGAACTGTAACTTCCCTGTGATTTTTATTCTTCAGTAACTTAGCACAGTGGTAACAAGCAGGATCTTTGGCTAGACAAGAAAGAACATCAACCCTTCTGTGCAATGATGGATAGATTTAGGGATACGCCTTTTGTAATGCAAATAAGAACTGCCCAGTAAGATCTTGGTTTACTACAAATATTTCATTTTCTGTGTATTTTCTGTAGTAAAGTCTACCTTCACCATTTACTTTTCACCTGTCTGCTCCATGTGGCCAGTCCCTGAGCAGCCCCCTTTACAATTCTCCGCATACAGGTCCATATTCCATAAGTCTTCATGACACTGGAGTCTTTCTGTTAACTGTGTGATGTCCAGTCCCCTGCAATGATCCTGACACTACAAGAGATATCTTAAGTGTGAAAGAATTGAAAAACAGTTCTTACAGTTTTTAGATATGCGAATGTCCTCGCTAGCTGACTTTTCATAGAGCATCAAGTTTGAGAGCTTAAACGCCCATGATATGGGACCATGTTTTTGTATTGCATGAACATTGCAAAGATAAAGATTTTATTTCAAAGAACTTAATTTAAAAGAAAAATAGTACATAGCATATCATGTAATTGCTATTTATTTTCATAAACATGAGGTATTTCAAAGTGCTATAAGACGCAGCACTAAATGTACATCGGAAGAAATTAAACACAGAACTTTGCAGTTACCCAGTTCTATGCACCAAACATTAACAAATACATTAACTGGAAGAAACAGGCTAGGAAAAGGCATATATAGTAAATTTCTTTACAAAAGTTTCTTAGTTCAAAAAAGTGATAAAGTAATATCTACTCAAAACTTTCACAACTCATTTTCATACGAAAATATAAGTATCAAATTTAGTTATGTATCAGCATCATACTAAAGTATACAGGCAATGTAAGAATTAGTACAGTACATAACAGAGATTAACAATATATTTGTATACAAAAACATGCTCCTCAAACATTGAGGTATTACAGTACTTAGGTATGAACTTCCAGTCTAATACTGGTAGCAAAAGCCACCTCTCATAACCCAAGACATGTACAAAAGGCAAGTGTGTAGATGGTATTTACAGAAAATTCCCACAGGGGTACAAATGCCAACCCCTAAAGTAACATCTGTTAGAACATAAGCACCATAAAAATTAGGAGTGAATGTTTTAAACTCAACTATATGTCATCAGCAGCTCCAAATGCTCACAACAATAAAAAAAAAAAATCCCCACCATCTACAGTTCTTAAGAAAAAAAATAATAAAAAAAAAAACACAAAACAAAGGCAGTCCATTGTTGTTTGGTAGTCTTGCAATAAACTCCTTGCAAGAACATCCATTTGCTCCGTACCCGGATAATATAGTTTGTCAATTACTTCAGGGACTGGATTGAAAGTAAAACCAACATTCTTAACGTCAAAAAACACAATTTTTTTAAAGAATCAAAAATGTGCAAAGTGGCAATGACTGTCCTGGTCAGCCAAAAAAAAAAAAATTAAAAAAAAAAAAAAAGCTTAGCAAGTCCGCTTGAACTCTATTTTCTTTACCAGCTGTTGTTGTCTGGCTTGCAATTTCTCCTTTTCTAGCAATAACTTCTGCTCCTCTGCCTGAAGAGAATGGACATATTCAGTGGCTTTTTTCAAGATCACAACTTTTGCAGCTTTCTCATTTTTAACCAGTTCTGGAACATGGTCCCTTAATGTGAGAAAACTTGACCGTAGATCATTACGCCTTTGACGCTCCAGGATATTGTGGTTACGTCGACGTTCACTATCCTCTGAATCCGAGTTTCGAGGACTTGAACTCTTAGACTTTGGTTGGATCATGGGTTTTACTGGACGGGGCACCTCAGTTTTTAACTTTTTCTGTGGTGGAGCATCTTCACTCTCCATGTATGGAGAAGGAGCGGCATAATTATGCTGCTGGTGAATTGGTGCGCAACGCTTTAAGATCAGTTCATTCTGCTGTGTCCTGACTGATGGAAAAGTGGTATTTTTAGGACGCACTGTGATAGTAAGAGTCGTAACAGCTTTGTTGGAGGAGGAGCGTCTTTTCTCCACTGTCACAACATCTATTTCTTCTTCTTCATCCTCTTCCTCCTCATCTTCATCATCTTTTGGTGACAGAAAGTAAAGAAAGAAAGATGTTATTCCTTCAGAAACTACTCTGAACAAGTATTAAACCAGATGTATTTATTGACAAAACATGTACATTAAAAGCAGTAATGAAATAACTGATATTTGTAAAAATAGGGTGTGCCCACCAGCTAAAATCAGCTATGGCTCTAGGAAAGTACAAAATATGTACAAAATAACTAAGGAAAAGTGATTTCTAGAAGTTTAATAACTTTTTGTGTTTTTTTTTAACCGCCTCTACTTCTCAAGAAAAGTGGGGCTCCCACCCAACTGATCTCAGTGGCAGAAAGAGTTTTCATACAGAATGTATGAATTTTTAATACAGCTGTGGAGCTGGGGTGCAAAATGCATGCACAGACTCACAACACAACCCTTGCTTGGTGGAAAAGCAGCCGGAAAACGAAACAATTGCTGGGTTTGTTCTAATGCAGAAGGTGAAGCTGCTCCCGCCGGGGACCCTTTAAGCCGGCGTTTGGTGCTCTGCCAAGAAGACAGCTGTTGGAAGTGCTTCCTCACCCAAAGCTGTCAAACCAGACATTAAAGGGACAGCAGGCTCTGCAGCCCGGGATGGATCACCAAGTTTATGCTGATGGTCATATGGATTGGCTTATGGGCACAGGCGGAACCACTTTTCAACAGAACTGGACTTCTGTGCAGGCACAGACAGGAGATGTCTGTGGGCATTTTAGGTTCTGTCCATGCAAAAACAAGGAATCCTCTGCGAGGCTACTTAGCCTGCTACAGCCTCCCAATGTGACACTTATGGACATATTCACCACCCTCCACAAAACGTGTGTTCATCGTGAAACTACCACCCTCCTCACCCCCAAAACGCCCCTGGGGATGCCGGACACAGGATAAGGGGACAGAAGGAGCTACGGAAGCTTCACAGCACCACAGCAGGGTCCTGCTGCCCCTCAGGGCCATCTCCTGCTGGGCCACCAGCCCCGGACCCCTGCCCATGCCTTCCCCATGGGGCCGCTGTCCCCATCCCCATCCCTGCCGTGCCTGCTGCCGCCTGCTGGCCAACCCGCACCCCACACACCCCACACACCCCCCGCCCGGCCCCTTCCTCTCTTTCGAGGCCACCACCACCCCCCCATGCACTCACCCGAGTCACTGAGGGTGTCGTCTCCAGAGCTGCTGCTGCTGGCCCGGCTGTCCCCAGCTGGACGTGGCGACCGAGCGCCCCGTGGGGCCCCCCCGCCGCCCACCACCCCTCGGCTCGTCCCCGTCACCGTTGCCTCCCTTTTGGTGACAGGAAAGGGGAAGACAACGGCTGGGTCCACACACTCAGCCGTTGCCACGGCAGGGACGGCAGCGGTGGTGACAAGGGCAGTGGTGGCAGCAGCCGGGGGGGGTGGTGGCGGGGCGGCAGTGGTGGTGGTGGCGGGCGGCTTGCCCTGGAGCTTCTCGCTGACCGCCCGCTCCAGCTTCTCGCGGGCAGAGAAGCCGCTCCACATGCAGTCCTGGATGATGATGGAGTTGAGGTTGTTGGTCACGCCAAGCCCCGACTCGAACAAGTCCCCCCCGTCCGTGCCGCCCCACAGGTCGGCCTCCGGGGGCAGCAGGAGAAGCTCGGACGCCCAGTCCAGGTGGTCGGTGGGGCGGCAGCCCCCCAGTGCTGCCCCTCCCCAAGGCACCGGGCCCCCTCCCGGGGGGTGCTCCTGGAGACCTGCCCGGCTGGGAGACAGGGGAGGGGTGGGCAGCAGCTCAAACTTTTTCCAGATGTCCTCCCCAGGGGGGGCAGAGTCCGGGCCGCACAAATAAAAGTCATCTTCGTCCGGGTAGAAACAGGGCTGCAAAGAGTCAAACTCGAGGTCGGGGTTTTTGCTGACCATTCCTGGCATTACGGGGGTCTTCTTGCGGGTTCCCGGGTCGGGCAATTGTTTTAGAGGCAGGTTTTATGGTATTTCCACCAAGGGGAAAGAGAGGTCCTCCCAAGACCTGAAACTAAACCAAAAATAAAAAAATGATGATAAAAAAAAAAAAAACTAATTACAACACGAAGAAACACACAGACGCGACTGTAACTCCCTTCCTCTTAAGTGAAAAAGCCACAAAACAGAACAAAACCAAAACACGGTAATTCCATCATCAAGAGCAAGAAGCCGGGAGCCTTTTGCAAGTCGAGCAAAAATGCATCGCACACCTTTCCTCCCGACTCGGGCATTAAACGAAAAGGGCCAGGTAGAGCTCCGACGTGCAGGGCTCTCTCCGGGAGGACACCCAGCAAGGTACGGCAGGGATGCAGAGCACCTCTGCGCTCCTGCACACAGCACTCCCCGAACTCCTTCAAATGCTCAAAGCAGCAGAGTAACTGTAGACAGATGCAAGGCTTTGATACCGTAATCTCTCCAGAAAGCCCTCTTAATATGCCAGCAAAAGTAGAGGAAGTTTACTCCTTTTGTCATCTGCAGAGCAGCGCAAAGAGAGAGGGGGATGCAAAAAAGGGGGCGGAGGGGGCTCTTCGCAACTTCGCAAATCGCCAGTTCATTCACTCCAAGCGAGCCAGAGAAAAATCCACACAAAACACACGGGGGGAGGAGGAGGAGAAATTCAGCAGCAAGAGAAATCATCGACCTTATGTAATAACCTCACATACACACGTTACAAAAAAAAAAAAAAAAAGAAAAAAAAAGAAAAAAAAAAAGGCACTAAAATCACCCCGGCGCCACCAACAAAGCCTTGTGATTTGCCAACAAGGTACAGAAGTTTCTGTCCCCCCTTTCTTCCAGCTCAAGACGAGAGCAAACGGAGAGGCTGCGCGGGCGACAACTTGGCAGCTTTTGCCCCTTGGTGCACTAAAAGCCTCCTGCAAGCAGCACTTTTCCCCATCTCCCCCACGGAAAATGCGCGCCCCCTTACCTCGGCCGGACCCCCCACTCGCTAGCCACGACCAGTCACCCGCACCCCATTCCTCTTCCAAGAGCTGGGTTGCATCAGACATTTAACAAAAAAAATAAAATAAAATAAAAGGTGACTTTTTAAGTCCCAAGGAGCCGCTCAGCGCCTCTCCCTTCGCCTCGGTTAACGTGCCGCCAAGGGAAAGCGTTTGGCTGGGTTGAGAACAGCTGACGCTTAAACGGCGACCAAAAGCGGGGAAAAAAAAAATCCATTAAAAGCCTTATGATGAAATGCAAAGAAACGAGCCCGGCTCAGCTGCTCTCCCCCTGCCCCGCCCCCTGATCACTTCCAGTATTGTACATTTTTCTGCTCCTGAAATATATTAAACCGTTAAAAAAAATGCAAAGCAGTAAAGAGGCACCTACAAAACCCAGGCGAGCTCAGCGCGACAGCTCCAAAACAAAACCAAAATATCCGCCGGGATTTTCTTCTGCTCAATGAAAAACCCATTCACGCACTGCAATGCCCCTGCACTTCCTCTCCCTTCCCATCCTCCCTGATTTCGCGACTCGAACGCGATGGGGAATTGTATTTATTTCATTGGGTTTTTGTCCTCCTGCTTATTACAGCCCAGACCCTGCAGCTTCCTCTTCTTACCTCCTTGGTGATGGTGGTGGGTGTTGCAAGGGGGAGGAGTGGCGGGGGGCTGGGGGGAAGGGGAAAAAAAAAAAAAAAAAGAAAAAGCAAAAAAAAAAGCAGATGATCTTGTATGTTGCACTTTACTGAGCCCGCGCAGCCCCCGAGGCTAACCCAAGCCTCCACAACCACCCTGTGCTTGCAGACAGATGACTGTCACTGGCAGGCTTTGAAGCTCCTAGCTATTATTTCCCCCCACACCAAAAAAAAAAAAAAAAAAAAAAGACAGCAAAAGCTGACACACCCGGGGAGGCATTAAAAAAATAAAAAAATAAAAAAAATTAAGAGGGGGGGTGAAGCGAGAGCAGCAAAACCCCACCTCCTGATTTCCATAAGGCAGGGAGGCGCCTGGCGTTTGGCGCCAAAAGCCCCATTTGCTCTTTATGCGGGGCAGGGCGAGGGCCCGGTCCCGCTGCACGCGAGGGGGGGCCCGGCTGCCCCGAGCCGAGCCGAGCCGTGCCCCAGCTCCGTCCCCTTCGGGTCGCCCCCTCCCCTCGTCCCCGCAGCAAGGGGGGGACGCTCACGGGAGGAGCGGCATCCCCCAAGCCGCGGAGATACCCAGGGCGAGAAAAAAAAAAAGAAAAAAAAAAATAATAATAAAAAAAAGAGGAATAAAGAAGTGGCTGGAATACGGAGTGGCTCCCGACTGGGGGCTTTGTAAATCGTTAATAACCATCCTGCCGGAACGAGCACCTCCCTCAGACGAGCGGGGTTTGCCCGCATCCCCCCCCAAGCACACCCCCCGCCCCGCGCCCCCCTCTCTCCCTCCCCGCCGCCCGGGACGTGAACACTCGGCGGAGCCGCCGCGGGCCCCGGCTTTCCGCTGCGGACGGCGACACCTTGCGGAGGGCCGGCGGAGCTCGGCACGGCTCCCACCTCATCTTCCCCCCCCCCCCCCGGCCGCCGGGCACCCACCGCTCTCTCGGCTCCTTCCCCGCGGGCGCGGCGGGGCCGGGAGGGCGGCGGGGCCGGGAGCGCGGCGCTGTCTCGTCGGCGGAGCTTGGCGGAGGGGGGCGAGCCCGGTGGCGAGCGATCGCGATCCGGTGGCCGCTGCGGGGTGGCGCCTCCTCGCTCATAGGCTGCAGGTTGAGGCGGGGACTGCGGGGCGTTGCTCGCAGGATGGCTGCCGGCGGGCGGCCGCTTTGTGTGCGGAGGGGGCTGCGCCGCCTCCTTCCCTCGCTTGGTGGTGGGGATGAGCCCGGGGTCTTCCAAACTGGCCCCTTAAACACGTCCCCTGCCCCCCACCTCCCCCCATATCGCAGCCTTTGGGCTGCGCCCTCCCGCGTGGCGATGCCCCCTCGCCTACATGTTGTGCTTCAGTGGCCAAAGCTGTGAGGCCTCGGGGAGGGGAGGCGTTGAAGCATTTGCACTCTTGTTGGGGTGCCCGGCGGGAAACCGCGAACAGGAGCAGCAGCAGCGCGGGGTCGCCAGGGGAGGCAAAATGGCGGCTGCTATCCCACCCGCCTCACCTGTGGGGACCCAGCCATTACCGCTGCCACAGCAAGGGTGGCAGCGCCAGCAGTGGCCGCCAGCCCCTCCAAAATGGCCACTAGGCAGGCAGCAAGTCCTGCCAGACCCCCTCAACTGGTCCTTGCCTGCTTTTTGCCCCTCAGTGTAGAAGTGGCTGAACGCTCGCCTTCCTGAGGAGCCCTCAGTGGGCTCTGGTTGAGTGTAAAAAAGGCCTCTAGGAAGCAAGTCCTTCAAGCTTCAGGGTACATGCTGTTAAAGCACAGGGTGCTGCCAGTTACTTTGGATACCCTGTAGTGAATTAAGACTCATTTGGGAAGTGGCAACTGCCTGATGTCAGTTATGTAGGGGTCGTGCACCCAAAAATAGAGGAGTGCCAGACCTCTACTGGCCCCCATGGCAGTAAGCTGCTGAGATGTTTAAGGACCAGAGTGCCTGGACTTCGTGATTTGGCCTCCATTTCCAAAATGCACTTTGGGTTCAAGATGGCAGATTTCATTGATTAGTCAATGTGTGCTTTGCACTGTAAAGATTTGAAGTCTTATGAAAGTGCTGAGCTTTATGAATTTGTTTGTATGATTTAGTTGGACAAAAAAGTGTGGGTGGTGTTGATTTAATTTTCTTCACATTTCAGTAGCCTTTAAAAGGTTGCAGCATGTTAGTATTTGTTTCACCAGATATGCAAACTATTTACACTCATCATTCAAGGATATTCCTCAGCTTATCCAATTATTTTCAATTATTTTTGATTTGTTCCTTTAAAGTCATTGTATTCCATATTGTCCATATTTAATGTTGATATACATGCAAACACTGATACGTCCACACTTTGGAGATGGATATGCACTGTTGTCTGATCTAATATTTATTCATTCTAAAATTCTCACCTAGATTCTCTCAGCAGCCTTTTTACATATTTTTTTTTTTTTTCCCCATATTTTTGTGCAGAAACAAACTTAACTATCAACTTCTAGGGAAGGTCTACTGTGATGTGTAGTTTGATATCTTTTGTGCCTTAATGTGTGTATTAATGAAAGACAATGCTCATGACAAAACATTTGAAGTAATTTTCATTGTGGGGGAAAAAAAAAAAAAAGTAAAAAGCAGTACACAGAGAAACATGAAAACATGGCTGTTTATAAGCACTAATTCTGTTTAAAGAAAAAAAGTTGTTAAACCCAGATCTCTTGCTTTGTCTTGTACAGTTGAGAAAGACGTGAAAAATTGTGCAAAGCTTTGGAATGACTACACACATCTTTTTTATTATTTTTTTTCCTTGACATTCCTGGCTATTTTATCAACATTTGCTTTTCTTTCTCTGTTTCTATGATACTGTGATCCCTTCTGTCTCTGAAATGGCAAGTATCAAGAAGCCTCTAGGCAAGTGGAAACCTGAAATTACTTGTGGTTACTCTGAATTTATAATTGCTTCATTTCATTGAAACAATTTGGGAGTTGAGATATACTGATTTTAGAACTGTGTCCCAATACAGACCATAGAATAATAGAATGTTTTGTGTTGGAAGAGATCTTAAAGATCATCTAGTTCCAACCCTATTGCCATGGGCAAGGACACCTCCCACCAGACCAGGTTGCTCAAAGCCCTGTCCAACCTGGCCTTGGAACAGTTCCACACATGGAGCAGCCGCAGGTTCTCTGGGCAACCTGAGAACTCCACTGCTTCACTACCGTCACAGGGAAGAATTTGTTCTTTATATCTACTTGAAATCTACCCTCTCTCACTTTAAGGCCATTACTCATTGTCCTATCACTATATGCTCTTGTAAAGAAGTCCTTCTCCGTTGTTCTTGTAGTCCCCCTTTAGGTACTGGAAGGATGCTATGAGGTCTTCCCAGAACCTTCTTTTTGCAAGACTCAACAACTCCAACTCTCTCAGACTGTCTTTATAAGGGAGGTGCTCCAGCCCTCCGATCATCCTCGTGACTCTCTGGACTCATTCTGATAGATCCACATCCTTCTTGTGTTCATGGCCCAAGAGCTGAACACAGCACTCCAGGTGGGGTTCAGGTGGGGTTTCAAGAGCAGAATAGAGCGGAAGAATCATGTCCCTTGCCCTGCTGGCCATGCTTCTTCTGATGCAGCCCAGGATGTCTGACTTTATGGGCGGCAAGCACACATTGCTAGCTCATGTTGAGCTTCTTGTCAACCAACACCCCCAGGTCCATCTCCTCGGGGCTGCTCCCAGTCTATCCTCTGCCCAGCCTGTATTTGTGCTTGAGATTGCACCAACTCAGATGCAGGACCTTGCACTTGGCCTTGCCGAACCTCATGAGGTTCACACAGGTACACCTTTCAAGCCTGTCCAGGTCCCTCTGGATGGCATTCCCTCCCTCCAGGATGTTGACCACACCACACAGCTTGGTACCATCAGCAGACTTGGGCTCAATCCCACTGCCCATGTCACCGACGAAGTTGTTAAACAGTACTGGTACCAATACTGACCTCTGAGGAACACCATTTGTTACCGACCTCCACTTGGACAGTTGACTGCAGTGTGACCATCCAGCCAATTCCTTACCCACCAAGTGGTCCATCCATCAGATCCATGTCTCTCCAATTTAGAGAGACAATGCTGTAACCCCAGTGTAGAAGGCTACCAGATTTGTCAGATAAGATCTGCCCTTAGTGAAGCCATGTTGGCTGTCACCAATCACCTCCTTATTTTCCATGTGCCTTAGCACAGTTTCTAGGAGGGTCTGCTTCATCATCTTGCCGGGCACAGAAGTGAGACATACTAGCCTGTAGTTTTATGTCTCTTTTTTTTTTCTCTTTTTGGAAAAAAACAGAAG